GAAAGACAGAGAGGGGGCTGCTGGGACTTGGGGTTGGAGAGGGCGGGGGGGGGGGGGAGAGGGGCTGGGAGTAGAGGAGGCAGTGGGAACTTCCGCCTGGATGTAAAATAAATTAAAAAAAAAGGATAATGCCAAGCGTAGCTCCTAGCACCACTTTAGGAGGCTCACAACAATTTCTAACTCCCCCTCTTGGGGATCCAATGCACTCTTGTGGTTTCTGCAGGCACCTACACACACACACACACACCCCACCACACACACACAGACACACCCACACACACACAGATACACACACAGATACACACACACAGATACGCGCGCACACACACAGATACACACACAGATACACACACACACAGATACGCACACACAAACACATATACACACACAGATACACACACCAACCTTGCCTTCCTTTCTCCCCAGCAGCCAGCTTCCCCATGAAGCCCTCAAGCACCTGCTGCAGGAGGTGGAGCCCAGAGAGGGGCTGTAGTGTACAGGTCATTGCAGAGGTCTCTTAGTCGACACACTCGTGTATAGGAGGTGACAGACAGCCCCGGGCCAGTTCTGTGCTCTGTGACTTTGGCCTCTTGGTCCTCAGTAGTTGTGCAGCCTTTCGTGAGACTCAAGTACACCTGCTCTCCTGGACAGATAGAAAGGGCAGTCTGGGGTGGAGGTCAGGGCTGTTATCCACAGATCTAAGAGAGCAGGGCAGAGTAAAAGCGGGGTGTCTATATGCAGAAGGCCCCTCTCACCATTCTCTATCATCATCAGGGTGTCCTGGCAGCCTTCACCAACATCACAGGTTGTCTGGCCAGCTGTCCACTGGAGAGGCAGTTGTGATACATCTCTGGTGATCTCCAAAGTCCCATGCTGGCATTTCAGAGCCCCTGGTGGAGAGAGAGAAGAGAGAGAGAGAGAGAGAGAGAGAGAGAGAGAGAGAGAGAGAGAGAGAGAGATCTTGTGCAAATCCCTCTCTGTATGAAATTGACCTCACTTGGTGGGACCTCACTCACAACCAGCAACAAGTGGACCCTCCTAGTATCTTTTCTCATGCCACAGAAGGTGCCTGTGACATCCAGCTTATGCCCTCAAGTCCCTGGATCCAGCTGTGGGAAAAGGAGCTAACATAAAGATTAATGTTGGTTGCACTCACTCAGTTCCCTCTTGAAGGTCTGAAGTTAGAAATACATAGGCAGAAGAGGGAACGGAGGCTAGGTCACAGAAGGTCACTGTTACGCCCAGTCCCCAGGACCTCCAGAGAGACCATCAAGGAGACTACTCCCCAAATGTCAGCACAAGGTTTATTGAATCCAAGCCTAGACAGGGACCTCATTCCCACAGACTGAAGCAGCAGCTGCAGGAGAAGGTTCTGAGCCTTGTAAGCAAGGGGTTTATAAAGACTAAAACCATAGGTAGGGTGAGGAGTACGGGTTCAAAGCTGATTGGTTGGGGTGTCTAGAGGAATTTGAAGGAATTTCTATAGGTTAATCTTTAGCACAAATGAGCCCATTAAAGTTGGTTTGCAACCCTGTTGATTAACCTGGGGTATCTGTTCTCCTTGCTGGAGTCACAGCCATGTGTGGTTATCTGTTAACTGGGTGGGTGATGTGAGCCAGTCTGCACAGGTTATGGTTGAAGTTCCCATATTCTGTTTCTAGTCCTCTTTTCTAAAATGGCACTGGCTTTGGTCTCTCAGTCATACTTCCAGAAGAGCCAGGATGCCTACTGGCTCTTCTCTCCCTTCCATGGCTCCCTATTGCCTTGCTATCATTATTGAGTCCATCCACAGCTCTCTGTCCTGTGTGTAACAGTTGGTATCTGTGGCCAGCCCCAAGCAGGCATGGTCAGCAGTATCTCTAAACAGGATTACTCACTACAACACACTCATGTGTACACATTCACACACACACTCATGTATACACATTCACACACATATGAACACACACAAATTTGCACATTTATGATGTGAAAGAAGAAAGGAGACTATTTGGGGCAAAGTGGGGACAAGGGAGTAATTGAGGTCAGAGTACACAACATAGTTGAATGAAAATGCCACAATGAAGCCCACCACTCTGCACAATGAATACATGACAATGATAAATTAAAATGAGATACAATCAGAAAGAAGCTCTTGCTCTCAAGAATGAAACCTGCTGGGCATCAGAGCACTGTCCACAGCATGAGATCCTATGCAGAGCAACTACCTTGCACCCTGACTTTCCTTCCATTAACCCCTCATAGCCAATATAGACAGGCTCCCCTGGGACAGAATCATGTATTTATTACTTGCTTGTGTGGTGTGGGTATGCTCACTTCACAGCACACTGTGGGGATCAGAGGACAACTTTCCAGATTCTCTCCTTCCACCACGTGGATCTCAGGGACAGAACTCAGGTAGTAAGGTTTATGCCCACTAAGCCACCTCACAAATCACTGGCCCCTCATCCCCTAGGCCACAGTCTCTCCTTGGTCCTCCCCCTTCCAATCTCCAGCATTCTCTCTGGAGAATCTCCTCCCAGGTACACACTAGAGAGAGATCTCATTTAAGGTGCCTGTGACATCCAGCTTATGCCCTCTGTTGCCATGGATAGCCTCTGTTGATGGTTTGGGGTATTCCACAAGTATCCTTTTTCATGGAGGCTGCAGTACAGGGTTGTTTTCCCACATGCAACTCACCTAATTGAAAACCGCAATCCTCACGCACATCTATGGGTCCTATTATCTGGGTGCCATTGAGCAGGTTGCACCCAGGCTGGGACATGCAACCCTGCACCTTCAGATCAGAAATGAGCCCTCCTAGGATAGGAGAAGGGAGAGACAGAGATGCTCTCACACACAGATCATGAGAGCCTCAGAGGCAAGCCCAGCTCTGGGAGGCTGGCCCCTCACTCCTGGGAGCTCATTCCTTCTCTCAGCTTACCTTCCTCCCAGACGCCCAGATCTCCACTCTCAGCCTACCATGTTCAGTCCCCCAGTCCCCACATCTAGGCTTGTAAGGATTCAGGCATTATGCTGGCCTGCCCCTGTCTCCTGGCAGAATGCACTCAGGCAGTACTCTGGTCAGCTCAGGCTTTCATGAGTACTAATCTGAAGGCAGGTGCAAAGGACCCCTTTAAAAGAAAGACCTCTGCCCACGTGTGCTCTCTTACTGTTCTTCCTGCCCTCTCTGCTCTCCTCTCTTTCTGCTCCTGTCTCCTCTTCTGCCCTCCCTCTGTGTCTCTTCACCTCTTTTCCTTTCCTTACCTCTCCCTCCATTTTCTAATAAAACTTCTCATTCAAGCTCTGTCTGCCTGGTGCGTTTGTCCCCTGCCTCGGCCACCCTAGCGTGCCATGGAAGCCCCCATGGTCCCCCATGCAGGACCGCCCTTCCGGCTTTATGTTAACGTTGGTGCAAAATAACAACAAGGCTTACTTCCCCTGAAGCTGAGAACTCCATGGTAGCAGTGTGTGCTGCCTGCAGGGCAGACCTGTTCGGGGACATTCTGTGGGCAGCCATCCTTAGAAAGGCAGAGTGGGCAGAGCAGGTTCCCTGGACCTGGGAGATGACAGTCATGGTGAGGGGCAGTGGGAGGGGCCCAGTGGTCCTAAGAATGAAGTTACTCGGTGCCCTCTGGGTCTCATGGGGGCCCAAGGACAGGAATTGTGTGTCCTAAGGGGGCACGATGCCTGAAGGCAGAGAAGACCCGTAGAGACCCCAGGCCTAGGGCTGGAGCCTGCAGACCAGCAGGGTCTTTTCTGTGTGACTGGCAAATATAAGGACGTGGTCAAGGATAGGAGGGGGATCTGGAAGGCACCAATGACTTCAAAGTCCATTAAATGGTCAAGTAGGACAAGGGACCAATATTCCAGAGAAGACAAATCTCATCCTCTGCTTAACAAACACCAGGTAAGGACAGTGGGAAGTTCAAGGCCAGTATCCTTAGGGGAGAAAAAATGTGACAAACACAAAATGGGCATTAGTGAATAACTCCCCCCCCCCAGAGAAAAGGGCTATTCAGGAGGAGCGGGGTCAGACTGATGGACTCTGAGGTGATTTAACATCAGTGTGCTGGTAAGAGGACTCTGTAAGCAAAGTGCCACACGGGTGGGCTTCATTCTCATAATGCCAGAGCTGGGGAAGTTGTGATGAGCTGGTCCCTGGGGCTCACTGGCCAGTCAGTCTACCCTAATGGGTGAGCTCCGGGTCAATAAAAGACCCTGTCTCTAAATAAATAAATAAATAAATAAATAATAAGGCATATGGCTCCTGAGGAATGTCACCTGTGCCCTTTGGCCTCCACACTTGTACACACACATGCACAGAAGAAAAGCCACCCAGTTCACTGCTCTGTGACTATGAAAAGTGCACCGGAGAGTTTAGAGGTTAGATGTCAGGGCATGTGGGAGGAGAAAGGTATAGATGGAGCTTGAGAGAGAGAGGGGAGGGAGCTTGGTAGGGAGCTAG